CTGTTACATTTTGTTAGGGTAATGGAAGAATTATATCATATTTTCAATTTTGGAGATAACTAGTTACAAATGTTTTGTTTTCTATCTTCATGTAATGCTAGCCAGTATTGGTATCAACGAATGGATATGACAATGTAATTACAAACTTTAATTAGCATTTTCACTATTTCGTAAATGACAGATAAATTTCATCATAACCATTACGGTTCATGTATCAGAGGTGAGATTATAATTTATGGACGACCTTCGAGTTACGCCAGAGTGACCTTGAGAATGTCCACCTACTTACTAGGGCTAAATGAGCATTATAAAGCAATGTGAAGAATAAGGATTATGACTTACAGTTGATGGTTAGAATTAGGAAAAAGAGTTAAGGTTTCATCACGAAGTGACAGTAGCTAACATGCTAAAGCGCTGTTTAGCCAAACAAATGAATGAATTACTCGCCAAAATCCAAGACCTGTTATCCTAAATCTGATTGGTTCGTTCATAAATTATAATCTCGCCTTATTGTTTGGTGGGCTGTAACTATTAAATAATTAATATATCATAATTACTATTTGTATAGGAGTTAATCAAAGATTAATGAAATGGGAGTACTGTGTAAAATTAGTAACGGTTTTATTGGTGCTTAGTCATGATTATGAGCTCATTTAATATTGAAATTCTTTTATTGATTATTCACAAATTTGAAGATCAAGATTACGTATATATTCAAAGGTAGGTAGGATGCATATTTAATGCATTCATCCCATGGGATCATTCTTTAAATAATCCAACCTATTACTGATTAGTGTTAATAATAGCATCATTTAGAAAAATTGACTATTTCTCCTAAATAAAGTAGGTGAACTTGAACTAATATCTTGATTAACGTTATTTATTTACACATAGTATTGCTCACTATTCAGTGCTCATTTAGTGTAAATATGTCTGTTTGACAAAAAGTCGGTCGTTACTCAATTAGCTCAATGATGACGTCTTTGACTATGAAACTGGATATCTGCGTTTTGAATCCTATGAGGTGGGGCATCAGCTCTCTCAGAACCGCTCATATAATTGACTGACAATTGTTAATTAGTAAGAAACTAAGATTAAAGGATTTCTTCCTGTTGGCTCCAGTCGCCTAACATTTATTGGTTCATTCAAGAATTCAGTAGTGAACAAAAGTGGTTGTCAATAGTATTCCTCTTTAATGGACAATTAGTAAAGGAAATCGACTTTGTTTACACTAAGGAATTATAATTTTAGACAGCTAGTCGCAAATAATGATAAGCACTGTGACGCAGTGAAATAAGGATAGATATTATTTACAGCCCAGCGCTTGTTAAGTTTATCCGACTAATAACTACATTGTTGATTTGATAAATATAGATTAAAATCACTAATTTACCTACCAAACTATTATATACTACAGTTGTTGCATAAGGATTTTTTTAAAATACTTTAGCATTGTGTTTACCTAATGAAATTTATAGGAAAGCTAATGAAAGTTATGTAACATCAGATACCTATTTAGTCTCTCTCTAAGACTTTAGGAAATAATGACAATAGCTGCTCATTCGTGATTGTATTGAGAAGAAATGCTTTTAAAGATTAATTTCAAAGCATTGATTTATAGAATTCTTAGAACAAGAAGTTAAAAAGTAACTATAAACAGTATTGGATAATGAGTTTCGTAGAATATCATAATCACAATCATAAATAATTCATTCACAATATTATATGTTTAAAATAACACAGAATTCTTAGCATTCAATATTTCAAAAAGTTCATAATATTCAACATCACTTACTTATCTGTTATCCATCGTGAAGTAGCATAAGGCGACCACCAGCATTCTCCAACCAACTCTTTCCTCGATAATCCGTTCCAGCTGTTTCCGGTTGATATTCGTTCTTTTTATATCTGCTTCCAATTCTCAACGTAGTGTGTTCTTTTGTCTTGCACTTTTCCGTTTCCCTTCATGATTCCAAGTTAGTGAACACTTCGTGATGCAGTCTGATGATGTCAACAATGTATGTCTTATTCACCTCCAGAGTATTTTCTTAATTTCCTTTTCAATTGGAAACTGGTTTGTCCTCTCACACAGTGGGTTGTCGCTGATAGTATCAGGTCAATCAACATTGAACATATTGTGTAGATAATCATTTATAAATACTTGTACATCTTTGATGATGGTTTTGGTGACTTTCCAAGTTTCATTCCAGTACAGTAGAACTATCTTGTTTTGCCAACCCTCGCCTTTAAGTCTGCATAGGATGCTTCTTGTTCATCAGTGATGCTGCTGTACAGATATTTGGAGCATTCCACATCTTCCAGAGTTTCCCCATCAAGTGTGATTGGGTTGATGTTCTCCGTGTTTTATTTGAGTATCTTCGTTCTTGCCTTATGTATGTTGAGGCTTATTGATGCAGAGGCTGTTGCTACACTAGTTGTCTTTACCTGCATTTCTTGGTGTGTTTGTATGTGTGTGTAGGATAGAAAAACTATGTCGTCTGCAAAATCCAAATCGTCTAGTTGATTCTAAACTTTCCATCGTATTATATGCTTTCGTCTTACTCTACGTAGATATCGCAAAATACATATTTATTTATATATAACAGATAAATCAGATTGTTATAAATAAAATTTAAAACAAGTGTGAATTATTAAGCTCCAACTTAGTCGATGACTGGGATTGTTCTTGATGTGAGGACTGTATATTGTAAATGATGTCTGCTTTGGAATCTTAAAATCAACAATACAATACTTTCTGGGGTTTTTTTCTTTCAATATAATTGTTGAAGTATTGAATGTAGATTACTTAAAAATAATGAACAAGTATGGATGATGATGATTAGAAAATACAATGAGACGACAAAACTTAAACCAATTCATAAACTTTTAAAATGATGAAGATTTATAGTTCATATGAATGCTTTCAATTGTACTATTCTCTTTATACTCAATTCTGATGGAGTTTTGTTCTCTAAGCTAGATGGTTTGGTCATGAAGCTTTCATAGTTCTTTTGAACGACATTATCAGCGCAAATTTGTACTTGATATTTGTGCTGATGATGTCGTTTAGGAGGAAAATGAAAGTTTCATTACCAAATCATCTAGTTCAGAGAAAAAAACTTTATTAAAATCATCCACCTGAGCTACAAATCTTCTCTAATGTACTCACTTCTGCACAAATTCATGATTATCTAGAAGAACGAAAAAAATACCAACATTAGAAGATATAACACAATTTAAAGAAACTTGAGTAATGAAGTAAATAGGCCAGTAATTTGAGTTTCATTATAGGTATTATTTTCAAGGTTTGACTTGGTAATTTCAAATAAATTGAGCATTAGTTATATTGTTATAAATAATATATTTGTAAATGTCCCAATTGATTAAAAAAATCAGATTTTCGGATGTTTCGTGACTTAGTGTAAGCCACTTCTTCAGAGAGTAAATAAATAACCAAATCAAACACTTTGATTAATTTTGATTTATTTATTTCTTCTCTGAAGAAGCCTTAAGTCATAAGCATTATAAACAAAGATGGATAGTGGCTAGTAGCAGAATCCAGGATGTGTATCTGATCCTGTTTTGGGACTCATCAGATGGATATACCTGCATCTCAGGATTGATTTTCACTCTGTGACTCGAACCCGGTACCATTTCCTTCAAACATCAACACATTATCCACTTATCTACTTAGTCCTGATAGCCACCTGCTTGTGCAGTGCGGAGTGAACATCAACTCTGGGATGCAGGTACATGCAGATGATAGTGTTTACACTATAAAATTCCAATTTCTAAATCTTATCCTTTATAAAACTAAGAACATTCGATGATGGTCACTCTAAAAGATGACTAGACAACCAGTAGAAGCCAATCACTTTCTATGACTGGTTTAAAAACCCTATGGTAGGTTTTTGGCTTGAAGCGAATTTGCAATGATAACATATTTACACTAATGGCATTTAGTTATTAAATGTTGCCATCATAATTCATAGAAACTATTTCTCAACAATAATATTCTTCATTGAATTCGATTGCTAGTCACTATTCAACTTTTCTTAAAAAACTTGTGACTTAAGGCTATCTCAAGGCAATCCACATTGGATGCATATATCCTAACATGAGACTGATCAATTGGAATCCTAAATAACGATCGGAGGATTCAAACAAACAACACAAAGTGAGATTAAACACTGTTATTAATTATGAAACATAACACTCAATCAATGATGGATAGTGGCTAGTGGTAGAATCCAGGACGCGCGTTTCTTCCTTTTTGAGACTCATCATCTGCATGTACCTGCATCCCAGAGTTGATGTTCACTCCGCACTGCACAAGCAGGTGGCTATTAAGACTAAGTAGATAAGTGAATAATGCGATGGCTTTTGAAATAAATGGTACTGGATTCGAGTCCTTGGGTGAACATTAATTCTGAGATGCAGATACATCCGGCTGAAGAGTTTCAAATAGAACGAAACGAGCATCCTGGATTCTACTACTAGCCATTATCCAATTTTTCTTTAAAAAAAAACTTGTGACCTAAGGCCTTCTCAAGGCAATCCGCACAGGATGCACATATCCCAATATTAGACTGATCAATTGCAGTCCTAAATAACAATGAGAAGATTTAAGTATAAAAAAACGACACCACATGATTTTTATTGACATGATTCATCCTATAATCTTTATAAATGTATATTGGTTCTATCTAAACATGAATACTAATTTACATAGGTAATTTTCATTATCCAGTGCACATATCATGTATCTATATGATATGTATGTGAACAATGATATATGTACAACATAAGACCGAATTAAATCTTCAACTCTCATGTAATGTCTTTAGGTATAATCATCTTATTGTGTTGATTATTCATAGATCGTAACCTATAAATTCACCTGATTATGTATATCCATCTCATCCTATTTGTTTATATATATGTGTTAGTGTTTATTTATTTGTTTATTTATTTATTCTTGTTTATTTAATCAACTATAGATTTAGATCATAATACACGTTTAAATGCAAGACATCGTATATGTGAAGAATATTTACAATGTTTAGAGAAACGATATAATCTTAACATGAATCAATCAAATCATGAAATGAATAAAGTGAATGCAACTGAATATGATTTAATACCGAATCATTTATATATATCAACAAGTGTTGATGGTTTACATTCAATGGTAACAACAATACAAATGGATTCATCCAAATTGTATCATTCAATTGATCATACTACATTGAAACAAAATACAACTGAAGAGAAAATTATTGCAAATAAATGTGAGTATTATTCTGTATTTATAGTTAGAGTGTATTTTTTTGGCGAGTTAGTTTTCTATGGGATGGGGTCTCTAATCCTATGTCTAACCCTCCTCCCTTTATCTGGGCTTGTAAACAGCAGTAACAACAGAGGGAGTTATTGTATTTATTTTGGATTTGTTTTTAAAGATGAAAGTCAATTATGAGTAATGATGGATAGTGGTTAGCAATGGAATCTAGGAGATGTGTTTTGTTCTATTGGTATATGTCAATAAGAGACTGATCAATTACAGTCCTAAATAACAGTCGAAAGATTTAAGTAAACAATACTAAGTGAATTTAAACTTCATCTCATTGCACTAGCAAGGGGCTATCAGGACTCAGTAGCTAAGTGGATAATGTGATAGTGTTTGAAGTGAATAATCCTGGGTTGGAGTCTCGGAGTGGACATCAATTATGAGGTGCAGGTACATCCATCTGATGAGTCCCAAATAGGATGAGACGCTCATCCTGGATTCCACTACTAGCCACTATCCATCTTTGCTTATAATACTTGTGAATTAAGGCAATAACGAGATTATCCGAACAGTATGCACATATGTCAATAAGAGACTGATCTACTACAGTTCTAAACATCAATGGGAAGATTCAAGTAAACAATATCAAGTGGATCTAATTATCAAAATATATTTTGTATTTTATTTGATATTAGGAAGTAAATCTATAAGAGAATCGGGATCATACTCAATAGAGAATCTTTCATAATTGTATATCAGAACAAATTGTGCAGTCACTTCAATGTAGAAGAACAAAGTTAACGTGATATAAGGAAATGAATTAGAAGTGGGGGAAAGACGAATAACGGTAAGACCAAACATGGGGGGGGAGGGAGATGAAATGGGTGAATAAAACGTATGAAAAGTATGATTTATAGAAGGCAAATTATGGATGGATCTATGTTAGTGTGATCGATTTTATGACATCAAAGTCATTTACTAGTGTTCATAAATATCTCGTGGACCTCAACCATATGATCTACACATAATACTATATATCTTAGATATAAAGCCAATGATTTAATGAACTAATATCATATTTTATTGTATATTAGATAACTGTTTTATTTAATTGTAGCACTGCATAGTAGTGTGTACAATGAATCAAATGATGAATTAAGTACCGAATACTTTATCACCCGTCTAGTTAGTGAAAATATGACAATTTGTGTTTTGTAAATTTCATGATATAATTCTATTATCATATAGTAATATTTATCCTTAAGTATCTGCATTTTAGACCTTACCTATTTTACTAGTTTTAACGTTACACACTGGAACTTATAGAGATGATCTAGAAACAGTTTCTTCCTTAATGTGTCTCAGTTTTTAAAGAATTCACTTCGAAAACTATTGTTTGATAATGAATGAAATTATTCAAAGACTTATATTTGAAGTAAGTAGTTTTGCTTTAAAAGAAACGGTGTATAGGAATCTATAGTCAACATCTTCAGGATTTGTTTCTCGTTTTATATGAATCTATGATCAGTTATACCATCACGTAAGAAAATTATTAAACGATATTTGATTTGGTTTATTATGTGATAACCTGGTTAGCGACAGCATGATGATTTTAACCACTAGCTGGATATGTTAGGTTATGAATCAAAGTTGGCAACAATAGATGAGATGTATTCAGTGATCTTCTTTCCTATCTTATACTTCATAATCGGCGAATTCATCTTTTCTGCTAGATTCCTATTTTCAAAGCTTGATCTTCTCTACTATTACTGATACTGTGATGATTTATACTATATAGTCAGTTATATTGATAATTTCATCTTCCTGAATTGATGTGGCTTGACAACTTGAATTCCTATCAGAGATCTATTATGAACCAGATAGTATTGAAAAGCTATCTGGATCTAGTTTAAAACCTCTCAGTAGTGTGTACTCAGAATCTAACAATGACCAAGAACCAGTAAGATAATTAGTATTAGCGGTGCGAGTGATGACACTGAATGGTAATGACGGCGATGGTTTCATAATAATATGATTTACCCGAATTTGAAAACACAAACTACTAGATTTCGATTCCTTGATCTAAATAGTATCTTTTTTGTCCTGAGAAACAATATCCTACGTTCAATCTTGCATTAAGTTATGGGTGTATAACTATTGGGAAGTTTCCAACTTGGATTAAATAGTTGTTTTTTTTTGTTTAAATACTTCCTGATTCTTACTGATTCTCTAGCCGATATCACTTCGTAATGAAAACTAAACTAAATATGTAATTTATTGACCTGATGTGGCATACCAACATCATCGCACATAACTATATCGTTTTTGACAGGAAATTAAACTACACTTCAGTCAAAGGAACAACCTGATAATAATTCAGTAATAGTAGAAATGTATTTATAGACGTTTAGTTTCCTGTTACATTACACAATAGACATAGGTCTGATTTATGATGAATAAGATTTTGCAAATTAAATGTGTTAGGAATAATTTCTTGTTTATAAGTGTCATATCTTAATCATAATTAAAATATTTTATGCTTAGATTTAATTGGTACTTGAACTAATGAGTTAAAAATGACTAACAAGCAGATTAACTTGTCGGTTAATACTGACTATCGTATATATTTCCTTATTAAGACAAAAGAGTTCAATTGACTACGTTTACTAGGCAGTATCAAAACACGTTACCATAATTTGTTATTCTTACATACTTATGCCTGTTACTCTCAATGGAGCATAGGCTGCCGATCAGCATTCTCCAACCCAATCTGTCCTACTCCTTCCCTTCTACTTCTATCCAGTTGTTGCTCATTCTTCTCATATTTTTCTCAATTTCTCAGCGTAATATGTTCTTTAGTCTTCCTCTTTTCCTGTGGCATTGAGGATTCCAAGTGAGTGCTTGACTTGTGACGCAGTTCGGTGCTTTTCTCAATATATATCCTATCCACTTCCAGAGATTCTTCCTGATTTCTTCCTCTCTTGGGATCTGGTTTGTTCTCTCCTACAGTAGATTGTTGCTTATAGTGTCTGGTTCATTTGTTATTCACTCATTTAAAATAATCTGGAGTTATTTATAATGTAGTGAAAGAGGACTTGAAGAGATAATATGACAATCATACATTAGGTACATCCTTTACATATCTTCCATCAGTTGTCTCTTATAAACGTCATGATTTCTTTATTCCTGTTTTTATTCACAATGACTCTCTATATATGTTACTGTTCTCTTCAATTCGATCTTCTTAATCTTCTGCTACCAGGCGTTCCACTTTTGATTGGTGTTGCATGCTACTTATATCTGTCAATATAAGTAGTATACACCACGATAGTAGCAAAAAACTATCCATATACGACTTAAAATAACTTATAATGATCAAATTTTACTGGAATATGTCATACTTTTACTAACTTTGTAAACCTGCGCTTCTGGAAGTGATTTATAAAACATTCTATGGTTATCATATTGGATCATTCAGAGTATATCAACCGAAATATTATACAAAATAATTCAAAAAAAAAACTGAGCCTATTTCAACTTCAGTACTTTTATTTTATAATTAAATAACGTTATTGTTTTGAAACTGGGACAATTTTATAACTGATTACCGTAGGATCATGTGCTTATTATTTTTACGCATGCAATCAGATAAAGTATGATTTAATCTCTGAAAGGGTTATCATATATTTATATATCATATATACACCCATCAATCTATTTCAATTCACTTAGATAACATTTAATTATTCAAGTGTAGAAGTGATAAATATTTTGTTTGAAATTTATAGGAAAAACATTATTGGATATCGACTTAGTTGTCTAAAGGTGAAATGTTCGCTCACGAGAATGAGAGGTTCTGAGTTCGAATCTCGCAAGGTGGGATTGTAGATACGTACTGCTGAGGAGTTCCATACTATGATGAAACGATCATCCAATGCTTCCATAGTTTCCATGGTAGTCTAACATTAGTTGACTCATGAATTCAACTGTAAAGTTCCCATAAATAAATATAATTTACACTTTACTGTTCAATAAAACAAACTTTGTTTTAACATACAAAATAGTAGATATTAAATCATTTGTATTTTATCTTTTATATACATATATATGTGATAATAAATGGGCGCCATTTTAAATTATAAGAGTACGTTTGTAAAACAAATAAATTTGGTCAAGAACTAGAACGTAAATTATGAATATAAAATAATGAATTATTTAAAATGGACATGATTATAATGATAAATTCCTCCAAAAAAATATAATAACTATGACTACCATTTAAAAGTATTGATTAATAATAAAGTCTTGACAACTTTTTAAGTTAGAGGGGGGTTTTGTGAATATTATAGTAATTTAATAATTGAATTTATGAGTCAATTGAAACTAGACCACTATAAAAAATCTGGAAGTACTGAATGGCCGTTTCATTCTAGTATGGGATTCCTCAACAATGCGAAACAGATAGGTTTTGGGTTCGGAACTCTTGAGGCGAGATTGTGGGTGCGCACTGATGAAGAGACTCATAGTAGGATGAAACGGCTGTCCAGCTACTTACTTACTAGTTTACACCTGTTACTCCCAGTAGAGTATAGGCCACTGATCAGCATTCTCTAATCCACTTCATCATGGACCTTCCTTTCTAGTCCTATTCAATTTTTGTTCAGTCTCAGTCAGTCAGTCAGCCAGCTACAACGTAGGACCAGGCACATATGTGCATCGGTCCAGGTTGCCATACCTCATTAGCACATCAAGAGGAACACCGGATTCATAGGAGTGGTTAGGTCAAAGGTGGTGGAGAAAGACTGCAATAAGGATATAGTCAAGGAAGAAAGAATTAGTTAGTAGAAAGAAAGAAAGATATGAAGTGATTTTAATCTCTTAGTTTAAGGGAAGACAGGGAGTGTATACACCGACGCCATTGTGATGGATTCTGAGCCATGTCACCAAGAGTCTGCAAAGATAGTCACGCGGACCTCAACCAAGTAGTCTGCATCTACCAACATG